AGTTTGAAACTACCAACTGTTCCGTGGGAGAAAGATGAGGCTTTCTGCTCCCGTAAAGATTTACAACCTTGGAAACCCTGCACAGGGTCACTATGAGTCAGAACCAACTCCATGGCACATAACAACAACAACAACAACAACAAAGTATAGGGAGCATAGCAGCGGTGTAGGATAAGCACCGGACTGCAAACCACAAGGCAGTTTGAACCCACTAGCTGCTCTGTGGGGAAGGATGAAGCTTTCTGCTCCCTCAAAGATTTACGGCCTCAGAAACCTTATACAGGGTCGCTATGAGTTGGAACTAGCTCCCCGACAAAGACAAATCTAAAATATTACCTGTTGTCTTTCCAGCTTCAGACTGATGTAATGGAAAGCAGTATTTTAGTTCCTGCTTTATGGTGTGGAGTTTTTATATACGGGATCTTATTTGATTGCCATTAACACTGGAAGTACCCTTTAAGCACATTTTAAGATGAGGAACCAAGCCCAGAGAAGTCAGTGAATTCCTCCCTACTGACTGTTGTTAGCTGCCGTGGAGTTGGCCCAGACTAGTGGTGACCTCAGGCACAGCAGAATGAAATGCTGCCCGATTTGGCACCAAACCCCATTGGTTAGGGGATCAGCCTCAGATTTTCACTTGTTTCTTTTCAGAAGTAGATTGCCAGGACTTTCTTCTCACTCTGTTGGAACTTGTTCAGCACAATAGCAGTGCTGGCTATAAAACTCAAAAAAGCCAGAGAGTCATTTATGACTTATCGCAACCCTGGGTAGGGTTGCTGAGGCTATAAAGCTTTACGGAATCAGAAAGCCTCATGTTTCTCCCATGGAGTGACTGGGGGGGTTTGAGTTGCTGACCTTATGGTTAGCAGTCCGGTGCTTATCCTACAGCGCCACGAGGGCTCCTAATACTCTGTTGTTAAGTGCTGTCGAGTCGGTTCTGACTCATAGTCAGTCACCCAGTATAGGGTTTCTGAGGCAGTGAATCTTTGTGGGAGTAGAAAGCCTCATCTTTGTTATGTGGCCTCAAACTTCTGGCCTTATGGCTTGCAGTGCAGTGCTTATCCTACAGATCCACCATGTGTCCAATACTGAGTTATAGACCTTATTTATGTAAGCACCTGGCTTGCTGTTAAGTGAGTCATGAGGTCACTGTTAACAACTATGAACAACTCAGGGTCCAGAATATGACATTTACCCTCACAAGCCAACCCTAACCAACTGACACCGCTTTTATATTTTGACACTCCGGCATCTACTGGTGAGTTGTTTGAGATTATGTTTCTCCAGTTTATTAATGAATCTTGGATAAGTTAGAAGCGAGGTTCAAATCGGTACCTGTTGTTTCATAAAGCCCTAGAGGCCACCTGCTCCAATGGCTAGGCAAGCAGGTATCCCTTCTCAAGACTGTCCTATGTGAAGCCATATTTAGTGATTCCAACCAGACACAGATTTGCATGGTGGAATTTTTTTTTCTTTCCTTACTTGGTACCAATTATAAATTGATGATTAAGATATATATTCCATATAATTATTTCCATAATTCATTCTCTAATTTTCAGGCATGTGGCCAGACCTCTCTATAATTTCTTTAAAGTGGTAGGCAGGAGACTGTAATTATTTTGACCCCATCTTTTTAATACCTTGAGAATAATAATCTTTATAGTTTGAAGGAGTGAATGTATCTATTTAAGTTGTTGGGTGCTATTTTCACAGTCTATGTGCAGAACACTTTGGAGGTTGTTGTTAAGTGCCAGCGAGTCGGTTCTGACTCATAGTGATCCTGTATAGCGTTTCTGAGAGGCTAGTGGGTTTGAACCTCCAACCTTGTGGTAAGCAGTCCAGTGCTTATCCTTCAGCAGTAGACAGGGACTGTTTATCTTTTTTATATTCCCTGGATGGAAGTTGGCTGTTTTCATCCTTTTGAAATTATATAGTTCTCCAATAAAATACTAGTATTTATTGTTGTGTAAAAGGCTTTGAAGTCCTCAGGCCAATAGCTGATCATACTGCAAGGACACAGCCATTGCCAATGTGGTTGTCTCTGGGGAGGCCACGGGGGTTGCTGGTAATGGTAGTTACACATGAAGGAACAAAGGCTGATCCACTTGGTTTATTTACCACGGAAATGGGCATCAAGGAATGAAAAGCAGTTGTATACATCCAGCTTTAGTTACATACAAACACTCAGAAAGAAGATCCCATAGAAAAGACACCTTATTTCTCATGCCTCAGTCAGTCTTCAGCCAGAAGAGCATTTAAAAATGTCGGCTTCTATGATTCATCTGGTGGCCAAATGGTCATTTAAAATGAGTTAAGCATTCTCCATGCTTCATTTCCAGTCAGTGTGCCACCTTGTTTTTAGGTTGATGCCCACCAGAATGGTGCCAGAGAGCAACGGGCTTGGGGAGTAAGGGTCTTTCTGGTGATGGAGGCTGTTCTGTAATGGGGCAGAGGAATCCCAGAATGTGTACTGGCATACAGTTATCATTACCTGTTTGCTAATAAGAAATATACAACATTAATGCATTTATACAAAAAAGGCTATAGGTGAAATTAAAATCTGCTACTTACTTATAAGTCTATATGCTGAGCAAATAATTCAAGAAGCTGGACTATATGAAGATGAATGCAGTATCAAGATTGGAGGAAGATTCATTAGCAAATTTCAATATGCAGGTGACAACCATGCTTGCTGAAAGTGATAAAGACCTGAAGCACTTGCTGATGAAGGTCAAAGACTGCAACCTTCACTATGGGTTATATCTCAACACAATGAAAGCAAACGTCCTCACAACTAGACCACTATGAAATATCATAGGAAAATGGAGAAAATACTGAAGTTGTCAAGAATTTCATTTTACTGGGATCTACAATCAATGCCCATGGAAGCCGCAGTCAAGATATAAATGACATATTGCATTAGGCAAATCTGTTTCAAAAGGCCTTGTTAGTGTTAATAAGCCCAGAATGTCACTTTGAGGACTAAGCTGCCCTTCACCCAAATGATGGCAGTTTTAATCACCTCATATGCATGTGAAAGCTGGACAATGAGTAAGGAAGTTCAAGTTGATGCCTTTGAATTACAGTGTTGGCAAAAAATAATGACTGTGCCTTTTACACTGCCAGAAGAAAAGACAACATCTGTCTTGGAAGTACAGCCAGATTATTCCCGAAAAGCAAGGATGGCAAGACTTTATCTCATGCACTGTGGACATGTTATCAGGAGGGGACAGTCCTCGGAGAAGGACATCATGCTTGGTCAAGTCCTTCTCCTTAGTAAGTCAGTGAGAAAGAGGAGGACTCTTGAGATGGATTGGCTGTAACTATGGGCTCAAACTTAGCAAAATGGAGAGGGATAGTGCAGAACCAGGTGGCGTTTGGTGTTGGATGTAGGATTGCTATGTGTTGGAACCAACTCAATGGCACCTAACAACAAGTTTTCATTTAAAAATTATATTACATCTTAAGTAATTATTATAGGAATCAATTATACTTTAATATTTTAAATAAAATTTGACACCATAAAATTATTTTAGTTACCAACATATGCTGTGATGCTGAAGGGAGCCCTGGTCAGCAGTTCAAACCCACCAGCTGCTTCTTGGAGACCCTATACAGGATTGCTATGACAACTACAAATGATTTTTAAAGACTTTGCGGTGCTCTTCTTGGTACTAGGAAAATGTTTATCCTCATTGCAGTATGTTGAGTATCATTTTTTGGAAACTATGTTAAGTTTAATGGTAATATTCGGGCTTAATTTGTATATTGTTGTCAGGTGCTATCGAGTTGGTATACAGAAAATTTGTTCTGTAGAGCTGCTAAAATTTACCCAAACCCTGGTTTCTATTTTTTGTCAAATGCCTTGTAATTCCATTTTCACTTAGAGAGGAAGCAAACAAGCTTTTGAAATATCGATGAACCTTATCTTTACTCATCTGAATTAAAAGTCTTATCTTTTCATCTGTTCTTTGAAAACAGTCACCTCCCCTCCATTCTGTTCTGCACCCTTAAATTGAACTGTGGGAAGAAAATATTCCCAAGTAACCTGCTTTAAAACCAGTCTTCCTTCAGATGCTGGCTGTCACTTACCACAGCAATGAAGAATACAAAGAAAACACTTTTAAGAGAAAAGTGGGGGATCGTCCACTAACTTATTAATATAGGTAGTAGTTGGCGATTTGTCCAAAGTCTGTGTTTTTTATGAAAAAATGATACCTAAATTTAAGAAATAAGGCATTTGCTATCATAAGTCCTTGCTAAGAGCTTGCCTGTGTTTCAAATGTGATAAATAACTTGAGAAAGGTTGAAATGTTTTCACATTTGCATGCCACGGTTGATAACAACGGACACCCTCTCCTTGGAACTGCAAATGGTTCCTATTTTAAATGAAACAACAGTATATCTAATTGCACATCATTTAATATCACAATCGAAGCCTTTGAAATAGGAGGAATATTGACTGGTTTTCAGAACATCTTATGTGGGGGTCAAAAGACACTATTTTAAAGTTCCACTAACAAACAATAGATGAGAGTTTGAGGCATTGTGTTAATTCTGTGCAGTATTAGAAATGAAAACTTCCAAAACAAATAAACGAACCAGGATTCTTTATGTTTACCTTTAATTTGAGGAAAATTGGCAAAGGGAACCTAAGAGGAACAACCTGACCTTATCAGTGTCTTCCTTGGGACCCAGTGCTCTCTCCACCCTTTGAGAAAGAGAAGCAAATGCCTGTGTCCTTTATTTAAAATATGAAAATATCTTACAATAACCCCAACCAGCATGAGGCTTCACTGGAATGGATTTTAGTAAAAATTAATACAGGTATAGAATCAAGCCTTGTTTTGAAGTCTTAAGAGTAGAACTCCATTGCAGACCTTCTAAGTTTCATGTGAGTTGTTCGGGGGTTTCAGGTGGTTGCATTTAAGATATGTATCTTTACCTTGGGAGATGGGTGGACTTATTCACCTTGACAGCTAAGCAGAGGTTCCCTCATTCTTTTCAGGTTATCTTTTACTTAGTCGCTGTACAATGTGTTAAACTGGTTTTTTTGACTTTCCAGAACAATATCTAATTAGCAAATAACACAATTCAGTGACATTTAGCAGTATGCAAATTCCAGACACCGCAATCATGAACACCGTAAATACAGTCTTTTCCGTGGGCCTGGAAACAAAGCAGTCCACGGTATTGGGGCAGGGCCAAGCGCTGCATTTCACCAGACGCTTCATGGAGAACCCATCGTACATGACGTAAAAGACGTACATGAAGGCAGCTTCAAAGATAACTCGGAAGAAGATGCTACTTGTGTAGGTCCACCAGAGAGACCCCTCGATGCGGACCTTCTGACTTTTGATCTCTTCTATGTCCTTGAATTCACTCTTGATTTCTCCCTTAATGAACTTCCTCTTCTTCTCATGTCTTCGGTAGGCGACGTGCATGGCCACCAGCAGGGCGGGCGTGGAGACGAAGATGAGCTGCAGCGCCCACAGTCGGATGTGGGAGATGGGGAAGTAGTGGTCGTAGCACACGTTTTTGCATCCTGGCTGTAGAGTGTTGCAAACAAAATCAGCTTGCTCATCTCCCCATACCTCCTTTGCAGCCACTACAAGGATCATAATTCGGAAAATAAAGAGGACGGTGAGCCAGATTTTTCCAATGCTGGTGGAGTGTTTATTGACACCCCCCAAAATAGTCTGTAGTGTGCTCCAATCCATCTTTTCCTCGGACTGGTTTGTGCTGAAAAAGACAAAATGAACACAATGAGGAAATGAATGACTAGTCATGACAGAAGAAGGGTGGAGGTTTCCCTGCGTCTCAGGAAAGTGAGCGCTCTTCAATCTCTTCCTTCCCAAGCAAATGCCAGCTCGTACACAACTCATCCAACACGGTAAGAACAAAGCCAATTTAGTTTGACATAAGGATTAAAAATGCAGTTCCCAAACCACTTTGAACATGTTTTTGTGTGTTCCCTAAAGGTGTGGCCCTGTGGGTTAATGTGCTGGACTGCAAGGTCAGCAGTTCAAGCTCACTACTCGCTCCTCAGAAACCCTATACAGGGCCACTATGAGTTGGGACAGACTCGATGGCACTTAACAACAACAAAGGTTGTCTGGAGCCTTGGTGGTGCTGAGGTTAAATGTGTGGCTGCTAACCACATGGCCAGCGGTTTGGACCCACCAGCTGCTCCAGGACGGGAGAAGGCTGTGGCAGTTTACTTCCATGAAGATGTACAGCCTTGGAAGCCCTCTGGTCTGTTCTGTTCTGCCCTGTAGAGTGCTATGAGAGAATCTGACTCAAGGGCAATGGATTTGGGTAAAGGCTGACTAATAAAGACTAGCTTGCTCACCTGAGTAATTCTAACCTGGTCTTTATAGTACACAATAAAAACCTGCGGTGGGGATGGGGGACCACAACCAAAAGTAAGCTTTAGCCTGAAGGATGACCTTAGTTCTGACTGAGTCCACAGAACCCTATGCCCAAAACACCTTGGGTCATTTCAGTCCCTTTGCCTTCACGTTACATCTACTTGTCAACTTCATGTCTGGGGCTCTGCCACTAGGATGAATACTGAGGTGGTGGCTGTTAAGTGCCATCAAGTTGGTTCTGACTCATAATGAACCTTCATAGGGTTTCCAAGGAGTGGCTGGTGAATTTGAACCATCAACGTAGCCGTTCAAATCAACCTTACGGTCCAGTGCGGCTCTACACCAGGACTTCGGGACTGGTAGTAGCTTGGGCCAACCTTGCCTTAAAGACAGGCCAAATGCAGATGAGTCACCAGGTCAAGAAGTAAATCCACCTAATCCAGAGCTGCATCAAGCCTTCTTGCAGTGAAACTTTTCTTAAAATACTTCATTAATTTTCATAGACTCAAAATGTGGCAAGGAAATGGTTGCTACCAATGGTAGAAGTTTACATTTGAGGCACTCAAGTTAAAATTTCCATCATCAATTGTGATTATGGGTTGCTCTTACTATCACGCTGCTTAGCTACTACTTAGGGATTTTTCTGTTTTGGTAAGTGTTACAAGTAGCTCTGGTTTTAACTTAGGAAGAAGGTTTGTAAAGAGACACATATTTTGCAAAATGACAGAAAATTCAACTCGGCAATTGGTTCCCCAGTTACTGGACCAGTAAAGTACCATCACTGTACTGTGGTTTAGAACCAAGGCTTGCTTGGGTGAGCTGCTGTTTATTAAAAACAGAAAGGAGAATGGCTTTCATTTACTGTCTGAGAAGCAAATGGCGCCCCTGGACCAACCTTTCCTGAGCCAATGGCTTTGGCTCTTTTCATCACAGGATATGATTTGTCTTCATTTATTCATAGCTACACCCGTCTTTCACAATCAACCCCACTTCTAAACAAGATTCCACCCTCTTCACAATCCTGATGAGTAATGTTATTTTCCACCCTTTCTAAGCTGGTAGTAAATCCTTCCTTCTTCTTTTACTTAAAAGGATCGTGCTATCCTCATATTGAGCAAGTTTGATCCTGTTTCATGATGTACGCCCTCATCAAGTTTGGAATGGATGTCTTTAATTGCCACGCCACATCTCGGGCACTAGCCTTGAACTGGAATGATCCAATGCCGCAGTGCATCTAGGAGGCAGTAGGAACATGGAGATGATGCGTGGACACAAAAGTTAAACTGAAAATCAACTGTGAACAATTATGGACCCATTCAGCTTGAAAAAAAGATAAGCACTATTGGAAACAAAACAAAACAAAACAATAGTAGTTTAGTTTGGGTGCGGCCCTGACCATTTTAAATACAGTCAGTATGTCTAGGAGACGCATTAACGAACTGACTGTCCTGCGGATGATTCCATACCATTGTTTAATTCTACCAGAAAAGAAAAACCAACAAAATTTGGATTTAGATTTTAACAAAACAATCCTATGGAATTTGACAATCCAGTTTTGTTCAATGGCACTTACTAAGTGTAAACAAGACACTCAATAAAATAAAATCTCCCCTGGTTTAGATGTGTACATGTGGCCAAAAATATTTTGGGTGGGGAATTGATCATCTGTAGTATCAGTCACAGATACTAAACTCTTCTATACAACATTCCAACTGAGGGCAACCCTATTATGCTGAAAAAATAGAAAAAGCGTTTGGTTGAGACTCTACCTGTCTTGGTAAAGGTCCTTTTAGGTAACAGGAGTAAATGGAAACTTGATCCCCCCGGATGGGATGGGAGTAGTAGATTAAGATGGAGGAACCAAGCAGGATGAAATTGTTCTCAACATTCAATGCAGCCTCGGGGCTGCCCTCCTGAACCTGCAAGTGGGTCACGGGCCGGCTGGCTCCGACTTGGCCCACACCACCCTGAGATGAACCGACCACTGTGCTGCCAGAGGGCGAGCGGTGGCGCTAGTTCTGTTCTTGAGGCAAAGACGCCGAATCACGCGCTTCCAGCAAAACCAAACACGGAGTTCTTTACCCCTAACTTCTAGCTCTGCCTTTTTTGGTGGTCGACCTTGATTAATTGGCCCTCCTCAGATTCCTCCCCCCCCCCCGCCCTTCTTCACTGGGGTCTGTAATCCTGAGAGAATAGTTTTGAAAAGGACTCAAAAGAGCAAATAGGGACATGGTTGTTGCCAGATTCTACTGACTCCATACATCTCAAGACAGAAAATCTCAAGCAAAGGGTCATGGGTCTGGGTATATCATGTTTAGGTTTATTCCCTCCAGAGGTGGCACTGGAGGACTGATGCAACCGTCCTAAAGAACACGCTTTCTGAACTGCACACTAACTGTATAAACAACTATTTTCGAATCTGCCTTTCAGCTGGAAAAACAAACAAGTGCTCTTGCATTGTATAGGAAAAAAGGAGACGCTACCACCAAAGTGATCCGGGTTTCGGCGGCGGCCGTGCCTTGCGCTGCGGGTCAGGTGGAGCCCCCGTCCCGACCAGAATGCATTCCCATGCAAAGGCAGTTCGCGAGGAGCTAAAGGTCAGCTTCCACCAGGGGAGGCTTCCTGCTTTACAAACACAATCCACGTTTCTTTCCAAGCTAAGTCCTTACAATGAGTTTAGAATTTATGGCGGCGGATAAGGCAGCCAGGCGACCAAAAGTGCTGTGAGGGAAGTTCCTCCAAAGGAGTATCAACGACCATTTTTAGAATCACTGCTGACGGCCTCGCTACTATCTCCCCAGCCTCCCTCCCCCGCGCCCGGCGCCCCAATCGATCCCCATTACCACGTCCCAGCTCGAGCTGGAAATCCCTTCCTAGCAATTGCACCCTCACCACCTGGGACCCGCTGCCGGGCCGGAGCCGCGCAGGGCGTCCTGGGCGTCCCGGGGCCGAGCGGAGCGCCTCACCTGCGGCGGGAGCGGGCGGGCGGCGGCGGGCTCGCCGAGTCCTGGGCGCCGCCTTAAGGTGGCTGCCGGCCGCGCACCGCGCCGACAGACTCCGAGTAGAGGAGACTGAGGCGCCGCCAAGCGTTTGAAGCCTCAGACACCTGTTTGAGTCTGCAGTGCCTTTTAACCGCACCCCATTCCCCGCCTCCTCCCCGGAGCTATTTAGAAAGTCCGAGGAGGCGTGGGCGGCTCCTGGAGTCGGCCGCCCCGGGTGCGCGCAAGTGCGGGCCGGAGGTGCGGCCGGAACTGGCGGCCTTCGGGGTGAGGCCGAGGGTCCCGGCCGGGGGAGGGCGCACGGTGGGCGCTCAGCACCCTACGCCTCGGGGAGGGCAGCGGAGAGTCAGGGTTTCCGTCTTTTCTGTCTACTTCCAAGGTGCTAGTGTATTTCAAATTCGGCTTTATGATGATGATTTTATTTACTTTTAACGTAGAAAACAAGGTGCAACTTCAAGATGTTTTCAGGCTGCGAAGGTTCTCGTTCCCTCCTTAAACCTCGCGGGGCCGCGGGCAGGGGGCGACCTTCCGCTTGGGTGGAAGGCGCGCTGGCGGTGCCCAAATCCCCGATTCTTCCCCTTTCAAAACCGTAGAAGCATCAAACGCCTCCTTGAAGTTCTCATATGATCCGATTGCTTTCGACCATTTGCCAAAGACCAGGGATGGGGTGGGAATGGGGGACCCTGAGTGGCGGGTAGCGCACTAGTGCCCTGGCCTGCTTCGACTTCCTTTCAAGAGTTAGAAATTTGACGGAGTTATTCAGTTGGTGGGGGCGGATTATTCAGAAAAGAAAGAAAACGCTCTAAAGAAGTTTTCCGGGCCCCAGTCCCTCCCGGAGCCCCTACACTCCAGAAAGGAGCTGGAATGAACTTCCGGCTGGAGAGTTTTGGGTGGAATCCTCTTTCTCCCGGTAGCGTGATGATCTTGATTATGAAGTCTCATTTTTGTTTTTTACATTTAGTTGGAGTATTTTGATTTCTTTAGATTCAAGTGACAGAAAATGGATATTCACAGAGCAAGTGGAAGAAAAAAAATAATTTCAAGAGCAGACATCGTTTGGGGAGCATGGTGCCCAGCCTTGGTGGCTGTCTTCCTACTCAGAGTAGCTTGTTTCATGATTTTGGGCAAACAGGAGCCAAGAATGAGGATACAGTAGTGCCCTCTCTCACATTAGGGTTTCACTCAGGTCAGTTTATGCGAAGTGAAGACGATTCCTCAGACAAGGCAGATGTAGAGTCAAAATGCCACCACTGGTATGCATTGACTTACTTTTCCTTGTAAAACTGGTGCCCCATCTCCACCGGCCAAAGTTAGGGTTTGCTTTCCTGGATGTGAACAGGAGCTCCTCCCCCCCCCTCTTACGACCCCACCTTCCTTGCTCCAAGTCCTA